AAAGAAGATTAAGAATAAAAAATGCAAAGTTTTGAAAGCAAACGAAAAAGAGCTTACAGAAGATGATGATGAGAAAGAGACGGTGAGCCTTGAGTCATAATTTTCAGAAAAAAGTCTGAAATTTTTCAGCACGACGACGTGATCATCAACTGTGCTCGTGTACTTCAACTAGTCAAAATGGAGGCGTTGATTTCCAAAGAGATTCCTGAGCCGGACCAAGAGATTCTCCGTGCATTCTGTCGTAGTGGTGATCAAGAAGATAAATCAGAGGGATTGATTGAGAAGATTGTTATGGGAGTGTTGAATGCAGCTGTACAGAAAAATGAATTCGTTCGACAAGTCACGATTCCGGGGGAGCTGAGATTATTATTTTGAATAGACAATAATTTAAAAAAAAACATTTTTTTCTAATTTTTTTTGAAATTGTTTGATAGGCTCATACGAACCTCACTATTAGAAAAATTAATAAATCGTCGACAATTTTCGCAAATTTTCAAATCACTGAAAATTGACTCTACTATGATATACTGTGCCTTTAATCATACCGAAACCACTGTAACAGAAGGCTACTCTGAGCTCAATTATCTGAATATTTTTAAGAGATATCATTGTTTAAGAGACACATTTTTGATATATTTTATAGAAATTGAAATAATTGAGCGCAAAGTGTCTCCGCCCCTCATGTTACTTATATGCCATCACCTCAAAATCAACGACTATTTTTCTTAAACGATCCCAATTTGGAACGCTATTGTGAAGAACTGCCCCACCTTCTTACCACCCTCACAATTCCAAAAATTTCTTGAGATCTCGATTACCCGTTTCTGACTTGCCCCCATCCCTTTGATCTTGCCACTATCTCTCTTTTCCTTCCCCACATTAGGACTAACTCTTGCGGGTTAGTCCTTCTTACCTTCGTTTTTTACCATTTTCTTCCCCCGGTTACCATCACTCCTTATTTCTTCAAATCCTTCGAATGGACGAAATATATATATATAAGTGGAAGTATAAGGTGGCCTTCTGTTACAGTTTTTGGAGTATTCTGGTCTTTAACAAAATTTTGGTCCCTGTTATACATAGGTTCACACAGTTTAATCGATAAATTAAAACATTTTTTGCTCTTCAATCCAGTTTTAAGGCGTTTGTAAATATGTTTTTTCGAAATTCAAAGTCTCTGGTGGCTCTTCCTCCGGTTCTTCAGGTCAAAGTTTTTGAATAAGTGCCTATTTGTTTCTGGGGAGGGTGAAGTCCGGCAGCAATTGCAAAAAAAAACTCCTCATCTCAAAAAAAAGTTCGAAAAAAAGTTCGAAAAAGTTCGAAAACAAAATGTCGAAATCCCTGAAATGACCAGAAATTTTGAATATCATTCAATGAACAGAATTTCAAGGTAAGCCCAAAAAATCTTGTTTTTTCTGATTTATGTTCTGATCTCTTTCAAAACATAGTATGCATTCCTCTTCCCGTCACCGACTAGCACCTGCCGAGAATGTTTTTTTTTGAAATTATGGTGACTTTGGCGGGCAGGTGTTGTTCATTTGCAAAACCCAGATATCTTTCTTCTTATTCAGATTTTCAAAAAAAAAAAATGGAATAAGGTTTTTTTGAGTACATTTTATAACATTAACATGATAGATGACGTCACATCTTCAAGCTGAAAATCTCTTCCAGCTGAAAGTCTCTTCTTTTCTCCTCGTTTCTTCTCTTTTTCTTTTTTTTCTCCTTTTTTCTCTCCAACTTTCAGCATCCCTCGTCCAACGTCTCCAGATGTAGGCTTGAAGAAGATAACGAAATTTTCCCATCTTCTTTTTTTATTATTTGTTTTTTGTTAAATTTTCCCATTGTCCGGTGAAGAGAAATTGTGAGGACAGAAAATTTTTTGATTTTTTTAAAAATTCAAATGCCGTTTAAAATTACCTCGAAAACTCCCTATAGCCTTAGTTTTCAGAAATGAGATATTGCAAAAATTGAGTTAGATATTGATATGTTAAGCCGCGAAAGCTGTCGATGAAGTTTTTTTTTCTAAATCTGGGTGATTTGAACAAAAACAAAAGAGGTGTCATTTATTTCTGTTGCCAAAATTTTCATATTTCAGGTACATGTTCAGGTACATGTTTTTTTACATGTTTTGTAAATTCTGCCACAATATCTTTCTGGTAGGTGTAAGGAAAAATAACCCAAATTTAAGAGTTACTGATTATTTGTGTTTTGCCGCTGTTTTGATTGAAATTCGTTTTTGAGCATGGCAAGTATTTCGGAGGTTACCATACTTGTAAAATTCCGGGCTTGCCGGAAATTTTCAATGCCCGGTATCAAAAATCCTGTAATTTTGAGCCAAATTTTGAGCTCTCAATATAATTTTCTCCATTATTTTTTGGTTTTTCAGATTGTTTGTCTGTTTGATCGGAAAAAACTCAAAAAAAAATTTTTTTTTATCGAAAAAAATCGGGTCCCCCTTCATGTGTTTTTGAAATGTTCAAAACTTGTGAAATGACGGGCCCGCCGGGTCGGGCATTCAAAATACCTGAAAAAAAGCATAGTTTTGTACCCTCCGAATTGTTAGTTTAGTACCCCCTTGTACCCCGAATTTTTGTACCATCTGATTTTTTTGCCTTTGAGCATTTTTCGCTCTTCACACCTCAGAATTTTCAGTTTCACAAAAATTATTCCAAACAGTATAAAACATAATTTTTATAGGTCGCTAAAATTTTTTGACAACATTTACAGCCACTTTTGCTAAAAATGCGAAATGTAAAATTTTGCGCAAACTTTTCGGAAAATTTCGTTATAACTATTAGAAAAAAGGCCTTTACTTCAAGAAAACGTCAAGCGTTACTAACCCCCATTTCTTTTACTATGCATCCTTCAGCTCCCCTCCCGGCGTTTTTGCCGATTTCTTTTTTGAAATAGAGTTTTTCAGTAAAAATTACATATTCAAATTTTACGTAATGCACAAGAATACAAATTATCATATCGGCTCTTTTGTTCTAGCCATAATTACAGCCAGTTAAACAGCTGAAACTCCCCGGACAGAGAGAAATAGGCTCCGCCCCTTTCTGTTGTCTGTAACTATATTTGCCGAAAAAGTTTTGAATTTTCATGGGAACAGCAAAAAAATGTTTAAAAATACGTAAATCTTAACTTACGCATTGATTTTGCTCCATGCCTCTTTTTCCCCAAGGCCCCTTACCATGAAAAGCTCTTTTCGTTTTTTTTTCCTATTTTGAACCCACTTTCTCAAAAAATTATTTTCCAGATATCCGGAATCTCTGTAATTTGTCTCCTCGACAATGTCCACCTGCCATTTAGAATCACTTCCATTTGTTCCACTTTGTCGCCTTCTTAAAGCAATGAGCATTTACAATCTGTAAGTCGAAAAATATCTTCCTTTTCTTATGAAATTCTCAATTTTTTCAGAGTCCAACTATCTAGAACTGGTAAACTCTGGAAAGAAGAAATTCAGAAAATGCGAGTAATCCAATCGGGTGGATACAAAATTTGCATCGATGAAATCGGTTCGAGTATTGAGATGTCGAAGCAAGACTGCAAATTCTATTGGAATCGAAAGGAAAAATCGAAACTTTTGGGATATGTTCTTGGATGTTACCGATATTTGAGTACGATATTTCCCGGAGGAATCAATCATCTCAAAATCTGTCCAACTCATATTTCGGATTTCGAAAAAATTCCCAATGAATGTCAAGTACTTTCTATAGGTATAAATTCGGAAATATACATGGAATGGGATCTGGAATCTCTTGAAAGTTTCTCGAATCTCGATATTCTTCTGAATCATGTAAACTTCCAAAAGGGACTCTCGCTCAATGGACCGAAGCTTTTGATTCCTGAAAACTCAAAAATGCTAGAAATCGATTGGTTGAAGGTTGAGAATTCAGGATCTTTTACATCTTCTATTCTGAGGAAATTGAGAAATAAGATTGCTAACTTATCTGAAGTTCAACTCAATGAAACAGAAGTAAATGGATATCTTTGGGACCTGAAACAGGGAAATGGAAACGAAAAATTACAAATTATGACGATTCAAAAAGAAAATGGAAAATGGAATGAAGAAGAAGTGATAGAAGGATTGAATACATATCGAGTGGGAAAACAGATTTATTATTTGGAAAAGTAAGTGTCTGCTATTTTTTTATTGGAGTTTCTAGATATAGGAGTCTGTCAGTCTGCAGAATTAACTTGTTGTATAGAGCTTAGAATAAAGTGAGCATTCGCAACAGTAATTTTTTAGAGATTCTTAAAAAATAGCCTTCTAGGTATTTTATTAAATTTCTCGCTAGAAAAGGATTATCGTAGAGAAATAATTAAAAAATGGAAAGGATCACTGTAGATTAATAAGAAATTCAAAATGAAAAGGATCACTGTGGAGAAAACTATCTTTACTATTAACAATCACCAAATTCTGTGTGTGAGTGTGTATGTGTGTGTGTCCGGTGTTCCGGGTCACCTGCCCTATCGAAGTCCAGAATGGACTAAAATTTCCCAAATTTTCACAGATGACCCGAAATAGCAGCGAGATGATGCCCGTCTATTTTATGTTTCGCAATTTTGAGTTTGACGCCTTCTGGAGACCACAGGTAAAATGCGAACGGGTCCTTACGGTCGCGTTCGCGCGCGGTTGAAATAGAAACCGCATACGGACCGCACGCGAACCGTTTTCAGTAAATAGCAGTACATTATTCGGATTGATCCGTATCCTGTCCGTTTGCGAGCTCCGTATCCGATCCGATTGTTAATAATGACCAAAAGGTTCCATTTGAGAATTTCGCACTAAAAGCCCATTACTTTTCGAACAACCTAATACTGATTTTCCAAATTCCAGACGGTCAGATTTTCTAAAAGTTGACAAGCCCTCACAATAAGATAACTCAATGTAAGCGGGAGCCAGGAGGTCCAGCCCCGGAGGGACGCAAATCGACTGTCTTTGTTAATTCAAAAATTTTTCGAAATTCGTTTGGAATTTTAGGAAACCGGAAAACCATTCACTCCGAATTTCAGAACTTATAGATCTCAGTCATAAGTAGTTTCGAAACTTTGAACATTTGGAAAATTAAATATTCAAGAATTTTTGTGACTTCGGAAAATCGGAAATTTAGAAATTGAATTGTAATACAGTATGCGGAAGCCAGAAGATTGAGCCCCAGGGCAGCGACTGATTCCCAAAATTCTGGATATCTTAATTTCCGAGTTGATAAACTCCGAAATTACCGCATTCCGCGTTTCCTAATTTAGGTTTTCAGAAACTCTGAATGTCGAAGTCTAGAATTTTCCGATTTTGGAGCTAGGAAAAAATCTCTGAGAAAATGTATTGAAAAATCTTTTTTCGGAGTGGCAAGTTATTGTTAGCAGAGGCCAGTAGGTTTAGCCCGGAGGGGCGCAAACCGACATTTGAAAATTTGAAAATTCGGGAGGAAAAAAACCAGAAAGTTAACAATTTTTCACATTCAATCAAAACTTCTTCTTTTATTTCCTCAAGTTTTGAGATTCGAACGTTTTTAAGTGCAGCCGCGAGATTGTAGCCGCCGACAGGCGGCGGAAATCGACTGGTGTATTGAAAATTGTAAAGGATTACTGTAGGGAAAACAAGGAAAATGAAAAAGATTATAAAAGTTTTCGGTTCAAAAACTTATGGAATCAAGATTTTAGGACACTAGAATTCTCAGATTTCAGAGTGCCAGGAACCCAAAAAAAAAATCCAAAATTCTTAAATCCAAAATTTCTGAAATTTCCAGCTACGACCCGCTCATCGAATCCGAAGACTTCCTGCCCTATCACTCTGAAAACAGAATCTGCATCTCCGATTCTTATGAATTTAGAAGAGCCGACGGAATCAGATGCACAATCGAAATCCGATACTCAACGATTCAAATTTTTGTTTGTAATCAGTAATTCTTTCTTTGAAAATCTTTTTACTGTTTCAATACTATTAAGTTAATCTTGTTATTTTTCTGTTATGTTATTTTTCTCGCTCGATGAATGGTTCCTTTTTTACCTAAAAAAATATCGGTTTGCAGCTATAAAATTATTTCCAGCTACGTAGCTCCACGAAGAAGGTCTTTCGTGGATTTACCGATCCCAATAAATCAGATTCAGTAGTCTCATAGTCTCCTAGAAAAAGAAACTATGAAGCTCTGCTTTTTGCTTCTGAACTTTGTGATTCTAGTTTCTGCAAATTTTCGATTCAATTTGAAAACGATCGGCACCAAAAAGTTCAATTTGGTCGATGAGCTGAATCGATTCGCTTTGGAAACAAATGCAACGTCTTCTAAATACAAAAATGACATAAGACGGCAAATTGGAGAGATGGATTTGGAGCCACCAGATTCCTACTCAAAAATTGTGAATTTGTTTTATGGAAGGTGAGTTTTCGGATAGTTTCATGCAAGGGGTGAGCGAGAACGGACGAAAAACCTTCACGTTTTGCAAATGTTCCTTTCTCGCGATGGGAAGATTTCATGATTTTCTGGGAGCCTAGGAATGTTTTCCTGTTATTTTAAAGCTTGATTTGTGATGTTACATATTTGAAAATTCTTAAAATCAATATATTGTTCTCCTACAATAAAAAAGCTGTGGAAGTGGTCAAAAGTCCCCCGACGCCCCGAGTACAGTAACCTGGGAATGTTTCAATTTGCAGAAATTTTCGGACGTTTTTGTTACTGTCGACTTTTTCCGTTTTTTTCCGTCCAAATATTCGGAAACCAACAAATATTCGGAAACGAACCGGCTACGGTCACCGGCGTTCCTTGTTCTTTTGTACCAGAAGGTCGTAGGATCTGCGCAACATAAATCCCGAAAATTTGAAACGTTAATGCGACTTGAAAAAGTCCAAGAATTTTCTCTGATATTTTCAGCTTATTTTCTTTTCTAACGGTATTTAATTTTCTTTTTTAACAAAAAAAAAAAGAAAATACTTCAAGTCAACCGCTCCGACTTTTTTAAATAATATACAGGAAAATTTTCGCGAAGGAATAAGTCAAAAATTAGTCAAGAATTAATTACTGACAATTTAAAATAGATCTTAGAAACTTCAAAAGTTTAGAGCAACCTAGAAATACTAGATTTCAATTTTTGAGTTAATAAAAATTTTTAAGATAAAAATTTCAATGAGAGGCTGACACAAATTTCATTATCAGTTTGACTGCGCGGAAATTCAGCTGTTCAAGAAAATTTCTGGGAAATGTTGCTTTTTTCTGTTTCACTTTTGTGTAAATAAACTTCGAAAATTTGAAACTTAATACTTGCGCATTTCACATTTAATTTATATTTCAGAATGCTCCATTTGATAGAGAGCAACAGTGAAAGCGACATCGACACAATCGCCAAATACACAAATGCAGAAACTCAGATTCTTCTTTGCGAACGTTCGCAAAAATCCACTTTTGGTAGATACCGCAATTTCTTTTAAATTTTCGAAGTTTACGTTTTCAGCCGAACTCAAACGATTCATTCAACTTCTATACTTGTACTTCAAGCAAGTGAAGGTTTGACAAATGCACTCTATTGACAGTAATATGTAAGTTTCAGCAAGTAACGTACAGTATGCAACCACAATCGAATAACAGTGTCAAATTTCAAGTAAAGTACAAAGCGACAACAGTGCGGAATACAGAAGTGGAGCAGGAATGGCATGGAGAGGCGTATTATGTTAGTTTAAAGTAACCATATATGGACTATCATAGATTTCTAACCTTTTCAAAATTTACAAATTTTTTGAAACTGTATTTTTTAGAACTCAAATCTGGTTTCTTGTCATTAGGTAGTCTAGTTTTCATGGGCGTAGCGGCCGAGAATTCAACAGTGGGCGGAGCTTAGGTCCCGTAGCAAAATCTTCAAAGGCGCGTTTAAAGGTGCAGTATTTTCATATTCATTTTCTGCCATATTTTATTTCATTTTCTGTCATATTTTTTTTTTGAATTGTTTTATTCACAGAAATCCGAAAAATCAGAAAAAATTGCAAGGAAACAAAGTAAATTATTAGAAAATAATAACAAATAAGTCGGAATGAAATTACGAAAGTTCATGCTCTAAGCTCCGCCCACCGTCGACTTCTTAACTGCAACGCAAATTGAAATTAGTTCATAGTAATAGATGATCGATTAAACATTTGTAACTTCTCAAAATTTTAAAGTTGCTCGAAACTGTATTTTTCAGGACTCAAATCTGAAATACTACATCTACTCAACTCTTGATTTGAAAAGAGACTGTGCAAGTCTTCCAAACGAAATTCCTGAGCATCCTGTGGAGCCAAAAGAGGCTTATATCAATCGCCTTAAATCCAATCTAACTGAAATTTTATTCAAGAACCCAAACGTTCCAGAATCCACTTATCAAACATTCATTCAGCAATTTATGATCGATAGAACCCAAATGCAATTTTGTGAGCGAAACGGAGAGACTGGCGGACGATATACATTAAGTGATTTTCTTTTTAAACGATATGCGGATTTGGATACTTTTACTGTAAGCATCATTAAGCATCAATCTGGAGCATGAAGCTAGCATTTTCAGGACCACGCATTCTCGATTTCTCAATTCTCCGACTATCAAACTGATGTCACATTTACAGTGCTTGGTACATGGAAGAATGGAATAATTTTGAAGGATACGTATAGGTTTAGAGTGGAAGAGGCAAGAGAGAGAAACGGAGATCAAGGATGGATGGATTGGTGGACGACTTGGGTTTTTGTGGAGTGTTCGGTTAATTTGACACCGTAAGTTGTATTCACATATTATATGGGGGAAGATACGCTCACAGCGAGTTTGGTAATTTTTGTTAGGACCAAATTTTTTTTTGTACTTTTTTCGTTTTACAATGTACCCAAGGTTACGTATTTTTTAAATGCTATTTTTTTGGACGGCATTTTTCAGATTTTGATTTTTCTCTGAATTTTTTCGAAGTAATATTATGGAAATACATAAACTTGGGAACATTTTAATTTTAAAAATATATAACATTTTTTGGCTGGAAAAGTCTTTACAGAACAAAGTATAGAAATTAAAGTCTCATTTATTTATTTTCAAAACGAAACAGAACAATAACTTACAGCAAAACTGATCCTAAGTATCTCAAAAAATATCATCCCTTTGAAGAGTATTTTTGGATCGTGTGAACAATAGGCATATGAATCCAATCGAAAACAATAGAAAATTCCTATACACACGATCCGAAATTTCTCTTGAAGTGGAGAAATTATGTCCGAGCTGGTTGCCGTTTAGCGAATTCTGATTGCACATTCGTAAATAACTAGTTCTCAGCTTTCCAATGATGTATGTCATGAGTCCTAACTCCATTAACGATTTATACCATCTTCTAGTAGAGCAGAAACAATGAAATTAAAGTTCCCTTTATCAATCTTCAAAATGAAACAGAGAAAAAACATTTTTAGCAAAACTGATCCAGAATATCTGAAAAAAGTGTTCATGCAACAAGTGTGCTTTTCAATTCCTCCAATGATTCAATTTGGACCGTCCGTTCAGTCCCGAACCACATTTTTGAGTCATTTTATGGAAGGAGAGGAACAAGGATTTCATGCACAGATTTGTGAACAAAACTATAAACCAATTTACGATTGTAAGTTTCAGAAAAGAATGTCACCTAGATTTCTGGATTCTTAAAGTCAAACAATTTTCAGTTTCCCAATTCGAAAAATGGCTTGCATCGTGGGTTCTAGAATATGATGGGTCAAAACTGGCAGAAGCGAAAATCGATTCTTTTGAGAACTTTTTGTTCACTTGTGTTGTGGATGTGATGAAAAATTATGGAGATCATGATAAGGAGTGGAAGAAGAGAGAATTCACGATGAAGGCGTATTTTGAAGTGGATAGATGGCTGGTGAAGGAAGCGAAAATTGGATGTGATCATTTTTGAAAACTTGATTGATATTTGAATATTATTAATAAAGCTTTAGAGTAAAGCCTTTAGTTCCTTAAACTAGGTCCTCGAGATAATGGAGTTATCGAGATAATGGAGTTTTTTCATTCATATCTGAAAATTAGGAAACAGCAAAAAACTTGAGTTGTGTAATTTAGCAGTCAAAAATGCATTCTGTTTCTGAATTTCAAAGTTATCTCCGAAATTACAAGAAAGAATGGGAAAAATCGAAAATGAAAATGTTTACTGTAGGAAGAAATTTTGAAAGTGAAAACTGTAGACAAAAATATTGAAAAACTAAAAGGGTTACTGAAGAGAGAATTACTGGATTACTGTAGTACCAGGAAATCAAAAGGATTACTGTAAGGTAAAATAATCGAAAACGAAAAGAAATACTGTAGGAAAAAATTTTCGAAAATGGAAATGAATAGAATTACTGTAGAGAAAAATATTGGAAAATGGAAAAGATTACTGTAGAGAAAAGTTATTTTAAAATAAAATGACTATTGTAGGAAAAAATATTGGAAAATGAAAATGATTACTGTAGAGGAACAAATTGAAAATGAAAAGGATTACGGTGGGGAAAAATAATCGAAAATCAGAAGGATTAAAGTAGAGAAAAAAATCGAAAATGTAAAGGATGTCAAAAATTTTCGGTCCAAAAGTTTTCTGTTTCCGGAGCTCGTGAAAGTGTGATATTCAAAAGCATATTTGATGCTCTTTGGCCTTTATTGGACACTTTCTAAAATGAACTGATTCTTTCTTTTCAAGTTTCAGTGTTGTCATATTTTAGTTTCACATTCGAATATGCTAGCATACAGTAGTACCAGCTCAATTGCATATCTGATCCACTTGTTAAAACTCAAGATTCCTCACGTTAAAATAGTTCCACCTAGTTTCGTATCCCGCTACAAACACATTTTTTTCTCTAAAACCTTACAGTCGTTTTTTCCATCTCCTCTCTTATCATTTTCTAGTCACAATTTTATATCAGTTTGAACATTCCGTTTCAATACGGATCATAAATCCATTTGGAACACTTGATGTTGGTTTATTTAAGGTTCCCATGCTCTTAAAAATGTTTTATTTCAGTTAGACATGGTGAAGCCGAAGCCCAAATCCAAATCAAATGACAAAAATGCGGATAAATCGTGTAAATCGAAAAAATTCAGTCTGATGCGCTCCATCAGATCGTTGAGTGGAAGAAAGAAGGCGTGAGTAGTAGTTGGTTCTGAAAAATTGGAAATTCGACATTTTCAGAGCAAAGAAAAAGGCTGAGAACTATCAGAACAAGGCTCCTGTAGGATCTAGTGCCTCCGTCTAGCCAATGTCGAATTCGGTTTATTTTGAGATGAATAAAAGTAACAAGGATAAGTCGAAGGTGTGATCAATGAGAAATTCGACCCCGAAGAACGTGAAATTCTGAGAAAATACTGTAGAAGTGGAGATCAAGAGGAAAAAGCGGAAGAGATAATCGAACGAATCACAATGATTGTTCTGATTGGAGTGTCTTCAAAAAAAGGATTTTATTCGAACCGTTTCAATTCCAGGTCAGATGAGGATGTATGCGGTTGATGAGAATAAGGTGATCTCCCGAAAGGATTGGGAAAATTTTTTTAAATTTTCTTTTTCAGTCGAAACTTCCAGTGATGGCTCTTCTAATGACCAGATGTGACCTTCTTTACTATGCGTGGCTAAAACCAAGTACAAATGAGGAAGAGTTGGTAATGGAACGAAAATAAGAACATGAAAAAAAAATCAAAAATTGAAAATAAGCTCATGAAACAGTAAATATTTTTCAGGACCTCACTTGGAAGACAATGGCAATTCGTAAAGTTCCGACGCCTGCAGTTGTCAGTGCCTATTATCCAGCTGCTCGTGGACAAGTACAGAAAAAGTGAACTATTTTTCTACGATTCGAGCAATGAATATGATATGTTAAAATTCGTTATTGAAGATTCATAAAAACCATAAAACCCAATTTTTGTAAAATGACACTTTCTTTTGTAGTCATTTTCTTTGGTGTGACACCTTCACCATGTTTCTCTTTGTGTGACCCTCTTTTCCTCACTGGGACAGACCGAAGTCCCACTGTTGCCCCATTCGAATTAGACAGCGCACGCGACGCGACACGCAAACGCGCTGGCAATGGATTGACTGTACATCCTCTGTGGGCAGAATCCTAGTATAAGGTGTTTTTCCTTGATTTTTTTTTCAAATAAATTTTTCCCGCGCGTTTTCTCGATGGAATGCAGGGACCGCTACGTAGCGACTTATAGTCAGTTCAATTCAATCCTTTCCCGTCGAGACTAACGTTAATTAGTGTTAAAGTATGTTTGCGTTCGAGCGAATTTACACTATGTACCAGAAAAGATAACATGAAGTTCAAGTAATTTCGGTACAAACACATTTTTTTAGTTTAAAGGTGGGGGGACATGAAAAAAATAATGTTCTCGAAATTCCGTTCAAAGATGCCCCTCGAGGAGTTGAACTTGTGAGGGCGATGATTGAGGGTGCGGCGCCGCTACCGACTGAGCCACGCGGGCAAAGAGAAAGCGCACGCCCGTTTGCATACATAAAGGCGAGGACGACAGCTGTACGCAGAGTGACATTAAGCGTTGTACACCGTGACGGTAGAATGCATACTCTAGCTACAAAAAACTACGAAAAATCTCCTGTCCCCCCACCTTTAAAAGAATTATACTCAATTTCGTGTACACAGAACATAAATAGACTCAAAATACGTTTCTTGTACAAGTTTGAGCATACTTTTTTTCAAATTTCAAAAAAAAAAACATAAAATTTCAAAATAATATCGGTTTCATTCTTGAATTAATATTGTATGATTTATTCTACCGTATTAGACTGTTTTTGGGCAATGATTTTCTCTGTTGATTCGTTATCGTAACCAAAAATATGTTTTTTTTTCATTTTCTCACTACTTTTTGTCTAATTTTTTTTTTTTTTTCTTCTCCAAACAAGTTGAAAATAAAAAACTTTTTGATAGTGAAAAAATTGACTGAAAACGCAAGACAATCGAGGAAATAAATCCAGGAATTGAAAATATTATTAGGTTCCGGTAGTAGTCGTTGGTACCTTCGGCCACAGTCACCGACGTTTCTCTTCCACAGCTCCGATTCTTTCGTACCAGAATAATATAATCTTTTCTACTGTCTTTTTCGCATGCCCCCAATTCTCTTCTACTACTCAAAAGAAATACATTTCCTCCTTTAACACGAGCCATCAGAGTCATCAGTGCAGGCATAATTTCAAAAAAAAACTGTGTCAAATTTTAACAGGAATGATTGCTTCCTGCCCCATACTCTGGGGGTACTTCATGAAAGTGTACGTCCGGAATAGGGGTGGGGTTTCACGAATTTTACGAATCTTACGGGTTTTTGGTACTCGTAAAGTTTTACGAGAGTCGTAAAACGGGATTCGTAAAATTCGTAAAACTAGAGGAGTATTTTTGTGTGTTCAGAATCTTCAGTATTTAGACCATTTTCATGTTCTTGGTCTATTTTTATTCCTTGTTTTTGGATTTTTTTCTTAAGTTTTGAATTATGCTTTCTCAATTTAGCGTTCTTTTAGAAAGATGCCAAAAGTTATAACCTTTTTCAACATCCAAAACGAATATTTTGTGTGCAAGATTTGCACGAAAAAGTTAAGAAAACCCAAAGACAGTAAGTTGTTCTATACTGCAGCTGGAAAAACTAGTATACCTTCAGCGTCTCATTCTGGCATTACGTATCATTTGAAAAGCACTCATCCAAACGAATACGAAGAGACTCAAAAAGCGAAAAGGCTTTTAAAATTAATAAAAAATGAGAAAGGCCAACAATCGATTCAATCAGCCTTCTTTCAACGATTCTCGGAGGATTTCTCTCAATGGGCGTGTGTGGACACAGTCCCATTCATGGCCGTAGAAAAAGATGGTTTCTGAAATTTTGGTTCAAAAAATTAGTTGAAAGGAGGGGGACAGGAGATTTTTCCCCCTTTAACATTTGCTTCCCAATTGACTAAAAATAAAATTTCTGTTTTTCTTCCCTTTGAATAGAAGATTTAGTTTTTTTAGGAACATTACGAACTTTCTGAATTTTAATTATTTCCTTTTATACCTGCATTGATGAAATTTTATTATACCTGCATTGATAAATTTGATGTTTTGTGTTAAACTGGAAAAAAGTAGTATGAGAGGCTTGGTGGTATTAAACACACAGGAAATATGAAGTAGGATGATCAATTTGGTTTATTTTCAGATTTCTGTGAGTCCAAGATGGAAAGCGAATTAAACAAGGTATGAATTTTTGATTGGTTTTGTTTTTTCATTTTGAAATTAAATTTTTAGGATTTGGAATCTTCAATCAACATTGATCCCTTGTTCAAATTATATGAAGCACTGCCGCCGTTGAAACATGATATGATGTTGACAGATATCAACGACGTTGGTTTCAAGAGAGTTAGTTACAATTTTTTGTAATTTTTCTTCTTATTTCTAGCCCTTTACGGTGTTTCAGCTCGGCGACTTGACCGAAATTGAAAATTTAAGTGTCGGATCGTTTTCATCTTCAGCATTCCCGGTGGAAGGTGTTCTGTTTGAGCCGAATAATAGACTAATGGTGTGTCTCAACTGTTGTCGTGCCAAAACTCCTGATGCGCCAATCATCAAAGTATGGTTCGTAGTCGATAGTGGATCGAATTGCACGTTTCTCAACGAAAAGACAATGAGCAAGCTCACTGGTACTGACGCCATTCCATCGGCCATTCATGCTTCCATTCAGGTTTAGTTTCCCTCCTTTCAATATTATGGTTCAAAGTTCTACTTTTAGGATCCAAATTCTGTTACCGAATGCTATCTGTCACACAGCAATTTCAAGGAAGCGAACGTGTTGGGTATGAAGACGATGATGGATTTAGGATTGACCATTGAAGGGATGAATAGCAAAAAATCAAGTTGGCGTCTTGCGAAACAATAATGGATTTTTACAATGATTTTTGATTGATGAATAAAGTATTTTTATTTGAACTATTTTGAGAGAACGCGGGTTTGATCTAGGTAATAATCTATTTCTTCAAAATCAACTGGTTGCAACGCGCGCTTTTTTTCGCTCGTCGTTTAAAAGTTTGATCCTCAGCCAGCGTGACTCGGCAGCCAATTGAAAATTTTTGCAAAATTTACTGGGACGCGCATTTTGACCCACTTTGGGACCCCAGTGTGCCCGTTTCTATAATATTTTGACTATTTCGACTATATTTTCGACTATGTTTAACATATTGTTTTAGAAACTATTGGCATTCCGAAGTTTCTGAAACATAAAAATTCAATAAACCTAATTTTCGTAAAATCCTACTTTTGAAAAGATTTTTTTCCCTGAGTGATGAAAAAGTTCCATGCTGTCTGAAAATTTTTTAGCTGCTTTAAAGAAATATTGTATCACAAATTATGTACTCAATTTACTACTACTACAAATTTCTAACTTCTTCTAAAATCCGTTCATCGACAATACACTACTAATCTAGAAAAAAAGTTCACTAAATTTTCAAAGAAGTGTACTCTGAACAGCCGCTCCGGTTCCCTTTTTGACAGTCATACCAGCCCAAGTGCCGTCCTAAAATAATTAAATTTCGAAAACCTTCTCTCTATAACACTAACCAATGTATATTCCACTTCATGATTTGGTTTTGACCATGAAACGTACAGAAGATCCTTGCAAGCCATTAGAAGTGCCATCATCGGAACTTTTGCCTTTTTCTCATCAACCGCTAACATTCTGAGTTGTCCCGATATTGTGACTTGTCGAATGAATACGTTCTTTTGGACTATTGCATTCAACACAGCCAACGCTATTTTTCAATGAATCCCTCAGCTTTATCTTCTTGATCTCCACTACGACAGAATCCTTTGAGAATCTCTTGATCTGATTCTAAAAGCTCTTTTGAAATGAGGGTCTCCATTTTTATAACTTGAAGAAGGCGAGCACTGTTTATGATGTGGTCTTCATTCTGAAAAATATATTCAAAAAAATATCTCCGTTTCGCTGTTATCATAATAGGAAGTGTTTAATTTGCATATTGCTAATAACAAAACCACCTATAACTCACCGGTTCATCATCTTCCTCTGTTACCGCCCCTTTCTCATTCGCTTTTCAAACCTTTGCACTTCTTCATTTTGCTATTTTTTCTCAATTGAGCCATTTTCTCCAGAACCTTTGACATCTTCTGATCTCCGTTTACATCCGCTCCCTCGACATCAATTTTCCAGCGCATTTTATTTTTGATGCCATGAGTTCCAGATTGGGCAGGAGCAGCAGGACCTTCGACTTCCTGGAAATGGGAAAATCAGAATTAACACATCAGAATGAAGGATTTTCAGAAAATACGGATTCAGAAACTTGTCAAAATAATCTTATGTTGTTTCCTTCATTGCGCGCTAAGCAGAGTTTCCAAAAACAGTTTTTGATTTAATTTCCTAAAATCTGCTAGAAATGATTCTAAATTGTTTCAAAAAGCGCCCAACGTTAGTATTTCGTAACATACTGTTTTATGATCTTAAGGTCTAAATTGAACCTAAATTGTATGACTCTATTACCTGGAATCGAGATTGCTTGGTTCACAATTGAAATTAAAGACGGTCGTAAGAATGTTGACGGTAACCATCAGAATATGGATATTAAAAATAATACGGTTTCATAAACTTGTTAAAATAGTTGTATGTTGTTTTCTTCGTTTCGATGGTCGCTTTATCTTTGAAAAACATTTAGGTTTTATAAAAACCTAGACGTGCTTCTATATACTCCAATTTCTGACAAGATAAATGCTCTTCAGTAAACGTGTGGTTCAGGATAAAAAATTTTAAGTCTACCGTATTACCTCTGTTAGATACCCACCCAAACCGCTAACTTTGAGCTCAATTATTTTGATTCCTGTGAAAGATATCAAAAAGTTGTCTACTGATAAAATGTTTATCATAATATTTATCACCAATATTTTATCAGTTGATAATTTTTTGATATGTCTTACAGGAATTGAGATAATGGAGCTCAAAGTTTTGGTGGTCTTCTATTAGAACTACAGTATCCCCATACACACCATTTTGCACAAAATAAATCACCTAAAAATTTAAAAAGCCGTTAAGAACACCGTGATTTTTAACTTACTCATCTTACTAAATCGTATGACAGTTTCATAATTCTGACAGTTTTTGTTACTAAAAATCAACCACATTTGTATTTTGTGAATAACTGTTTCACACTGTGTTTTTACAATTACATGAACTCGAGGCTACACTACGACTGCCATCTCGTTTTAAAAATATTATCTCTCACCTCAAAAACACTGGCTTCCTGTTCCTCTTTCTTCGGTGGTTCCACTTTCTTTTTGACAATTTTCACAGGAACTTCTTCGCTTTTCAACCCAAAGTCCTTCTCTTTTTTCTTATTGTCTTCTGGACTTTTTGAGTTCGGGACGACTGGCTGTTCGCCAACTTTCTCGTCCATTGCGGTCTTTTGAGGATCTTCACGAGTGCCATTTGTCTTCCGTTTCTGGAAAGAATCGATTTTAGCTGATCCAACATTCTTTCAACAAAAAAATCCAGAAATTTTAGAACTCCTTTTAACAGTTACCGCATTTCCTATAATAGCAGTCCACCCAAACTGTCAACTTTTAGCTCAATTATCTCAGTTCCTATGCAAGATATAAAAATTTTGTCAACTGATAAAATGTTGTTAATATTTTGATAAACATTTTATCAGTTGACAAAATTTTCATATCTCTGGCAGGAATCGAGATAATTGAGCTCAAAATAGACAGTATCTTTTTCGCCTTGTAAGGTCCCCGGAAACTCTCCAAAACCTACCGTACAGCTTTTCGATCTCGAATTCGCATTGAACGAAATCGAATCGCTAGATTTTGGTGTATTTGGACTCGGAGCCATAGTTGTTGCAGTTGTTGTAGTCATTGTAGTCTGATCCATAAAATCCTGACTCGTGGCCGAAGATCCCACAACAGTAACCTAAAAATATTTTTATTTTCCAGATTTTTTCTCGATTTTCACTGCTTTTCGTCGAGTTTTTTTTTTGCTATTTTTCAGCAAAAAAAGTCGGGAAAAATTTAATGGACGAATGAAAATATTTTAGGTTACTGTAGTCGTCGTTGTGGGACCTTCAAAATCGAGAAAATAAATCCGAAAAAATTGATTTTTTCTACTATTTTTTGCAAGTTTTTTAGACTTTTTTAGGTTTTTCAGCTATTTTTGAAGATTCTTTTTCGATTTTTTCCGTTTTTTTTTTGTCTGAAATTTGACAGGATCATGTTCTTGACAGAAGATCACTGTAGATTACTGTAGAAAACCTTGTAGTTTGTAGTTTTATTTTGCAGAAAAATTCACGTCAAAATGCAGAATCTACAGTAATCTACAGTAATCAAACACCGTTCCATCAAATTTCAGACGNAAAAAACTGGAAAAATNNAAGAAGAATCTTCAAAAATAGCTGAAAACCCTGAAAAGGTCTAAAAACTTTGCCGAAAAATCAAATAAAAAAGGAGTATTTCTCTCGAAGAATCGTTAAGATTTTAGGTTACGGTAGTTGTCGTTGCGGGACCTCCAGCCAATTTTTTTTGTACCAGAATAATATAAAAATCTCACTTCGAATCGGTGTAAAGTATGAAAAGAAGCTTCTGATTAGGAATACATGTGGAACTCTCTTTTTTATGTTGATTTTTCTGGATTTTATTCTTTTCTCAAGATTTTTTGTCAGATTTTTTTCCAGATCAAACTGGAAGATAACATAAAAAGGAAGCGACTTATTTATTAAGCAAGGAAAAAATCAACCGGAATGTAAGAAAATATACAAAAAAAAACGATAAATCTATCAGGCACTCTCTTCAGGAATTCCAGCTTTATCCTCTGATTTCTCTTTTCCAGCTCCAGCAGATCCTTTCATTTGCACCGAGAATCCTCCATTTCCGTTTGGAACCATCTCGAAATTATCTGTTGACAAGCCAAACGGCGAAAGACATAAATTTCCGAATCCTTTCAATTTATCCATTATATCCGCCTTCATTGCCTCATTCCGGGCAGTGATTTTTTCATTGATTTCCGCGATTTTTCGTTGAAATTCTGTTTGGCGTTTTGGCAGGGATTCTTGAAGTTTTTGGTAGTCTTCAATCGCATTTTCATACTTTTCCGACATATTTGAATAAGCGAACGCACGTCGTTCGAGAGCTTTCTCGTTCGTGGCTCCGATCTGAAAAATAAGAAAATTTAAAATTTAAAATTTGATTGAAATTGACCTCAATAGATTTAGTGGCTGCTTCTACTGCATGTTCCCATTTTCGAAGTTTGATAAGTGCTGCTGAAGAATTTGAGAGGAGTATCGATTGAATTTCAGTTGACGTTGGTGACAGGCGGTGATGGCTTCCTGAAAATAGGCTATTTACCATGGTGGCCTAACTTTCTCAACATGGTTTTTTCTAGGCCACCTTAGTTGACGGTCTAGAAATGGCCCAACATGCACCTGATGCGTTTTCTAGGTTAATTAACCATGGTGTCTTAACTTTTTCTGATGTTTCCTATGTTATCTATTGTGGTGGCTTAATTTTCTCAACATGCATTTCCTATGCCGTCATCTTGAATTGCCTTAAAACTTTTCATTTCAATGACAGACCATTCCTGGACCATACGTGACCTAGAAAATTCATGTAGGCTATGTCGTTTCAAATCCTACCTGATATTTCTCATCAGCCTTCTCGAATTCTCCTTTTCCGAAAAACTCATTTCCCTCTTTTTTCAAATGTTCTACTTTGGCCAACTGCTCCTCCTCTCCCTCGACAATCTCCTCGATAACTGCCATACTATACAGATAAAGCTAAAAATGGACATAAATTTGAGTTTCAAAACGAGGCAAATGTATTCAGTTGGGTACAACCTGGTTATAGAAACAAAACATGGCAAAAAAGAAAAATGGGTTTTTTGGTTCTAAAGAATCACTCGACATAATCAACAGTAAACAAGAAAAAAGAGGTGAAAAAAAGAGATAAAGTGAATCAACGAAATTTATCTAAAGAGTTCTCTATAGAGAAGAAAAGAGAAGACACGTGTAGAAGAAGAATCATTGGAAGAGATGCTCATAGAGCTCATCGTAATGAGACACGAATCGAATGTCCAATTCGGATTTCATGAATTCTGGGAGATCATCGAAATCTCGTCGGTTCTCTGCTGGCAGGAATACTCGCTTAGCACCAACTCGACGGGCCTGGAAAGAATTATTCAGAGTAAACGTGTTGATCAGAAAGGACGGAACAATACTGTGCACATGATAATGGCCTAACTTTCTCAGCATGATTTTTTTCTAGGCCACTGTAGTTGGTTCAGAAATCGTCTTAAATGCAACTGATGTGTTTTCTAGGTTATTGAACATGGTGACCTAACTTTTGCAAGATGAATTTTTTAGGCCACCATGTTAAAATGCCTAGACATGGTTTGATATCCTGGTGGGGTTTCCATGACATTTCAAGATGATGGCCTTAATTTCTCAACATGATTTTTCTAGGCCACCAACTTTTAAAGCAGTGAAAACATATACCATTCTAGGTCATAAAGAGACCATTCTAGGTCATAAAGATTGTTGGCCTAGAAAACTCAACTTAGAAATGAGCTGGTATTGAACAGGTGCCCTTTTTTGACCGTTTAAAAATGGTGGCCTAACTTTCGCAAGTTGAGTTTTCTAGTCCAGCAAGGTAAATAACCTAGAAAACTCACCAGGCGAATATCAGGCCATTACTGGGCTATTCACCATGATGGCCTAGAAAGGTCAACTAGAAAAGCTAGGTCACCGTGGCCTAGAACGTACTGATAGTCAGCCCAGTTCAGCAACTTACAGCAATAATTTTCTCCCGAATTCCACCAACTGGTAGTACTTTTCCTGTCAGCGAGATTTCTCCAGTCATCGCCATATCCTGAACAACTGGGCGGTTCAATGCAAGCGAGAGGAGACTTGAGACGAGTGTCACTCCAGCAGATGGTCCGTCTTTTGGAGTGGCTCCCTGCAAAATTTGGACAGTTTTTTTGGCTTGCATTTTAGTCAAAAGTGTCGTAAAACCTGTATTAGAAGGGCTCCCACACTGTTAAGTTTGAGCTATCTTGGTTCCTATGCAAGATATTGGAAATGTATCAACTGATCAAAATCTTATGATATTATGATAAACAATCTATCAGACACATTTTTGATTCTTTGCATAGGAATTGAGATTATTGAGCTCAAAATTGATAGAATGGGGCCCTTCTAATCCCCAAAACTTACCTCTGGCACATGAATATGAATATGTGATTTGTCAAAGAACTTGTTATCCGGTTGTTCTCTTGCCAGAATCCCCTTTGACACTGTCAACGCCGTCCTCACACTCTCCTTCATCACATCTCCCAAGTTTCCAGTCGTTTCGATACTTCCATCCTTATCAGATGTCACATCAACAGGTCTCTTCAAAACTGTCTCAATGTACAACGCGGATCCTCCCATTGCTGTCCACGCGAGTCCCATAATCACTCCTGGCGGTGTCACTTCATACATTCTGTCTGATGTGAATTTGGGTCGCCCCACAAATTTTTGAAGGTTCTCTGTACTGATATTGATCTTTTCAGGGGTAAAAGTAGGAGGATCGGATGGTGTTGACACTGGTTCTGCATCTGAATTCTCACTGATTGCAGTTGTAGCCGCTGGTTGCTCATCTTCTGGTTGTTGCTCAGCTATTTGGAGAGCTGCTTTACGGAAAATCTGAAAATCATTTGCTATGAAACTAGATGAGTCCTGTTGCCTCATACTCGTTCAATGTGCTGCTGCAAATTTCTCACTCCAGATTCTCTACAGTAATGCTTGATGAGCTCCTCGAGTGCTGAGTCCTCAATGTTCAACTGGTCAGCGGAGAGGGATCTGAAGACCTTCTTTTTGGAAGATTTTTCGAAAAACTACAGTAACCCACGTCTCTTTTCTCAGCTGTGGAATCAGATGCTGATGAGCAATGGCGACTTTCTCCTCAGCCAAATATCCACTGACATCGATCATTTCCATTCGATCCCGTAGGGGGCCGGGGATTTTTGAGATTTCGTTGGCGGTGCAAATGAAGAGAACTCTGGAAAAATTATTATTTTTAGGCTTACATCACAGAAATGTTTTTTGGAAAGGTAGATCAAACCGGTGGTGGGAAAATTTTTAAAATTGAGACAATCGATGATTAGTTTTCATTTTTTTATGTTTTTTGATTTTCTGCAGAGCGTTCTGGACGTTTTTTTTCGATCAAGCTGAAATTTTCGTGCCGACTGTCCTCCAACAAAAACTACAGTAACCCAAAATTATTTATACTTCCGGAATCATTATCTCACTTTTTACTGCTTTTTGTCGATTTTTTTATTATTTTTTTCCCAAAAAGTCGAAAAATTAACGCTTTTGCGAACAAACCAAAACTGTAAACTCCGAAAAATTAGCATTTTTTCTTCGATTTTTCGAAAGCAAAATTGATTTTTTCTTCGAATTTTTTTTGCAAAATTTTTAGATTTTTTAAAGGTTTTTCAGCTATTTTTGAAGATTCTTTTTCGATTTTTCCGATATTTTTTGTCTGAAATTTGACAGGATGGTGTTCTTGACGGAAGATTACTGTAGATTACTGTATAAAACTTTGTAGCTTGTAGTTTTTTCTCGCAAACATAATCACGTCAAATGCAGACAGAACAATCAGTTCCACAGTAATCTACAGTAATCAAGAGACCGTTTCATCCAATTTCCGACAAAAAACACTGGA